AACAAGGAAAATGAAGAAATTTAAGCACACTGACTCCTTTAAGCCCCACCCTACAGCCCTTTGGGGTAGGGCTGGCTCAAATTTTCAAAGTATCAAACTGTCAACTCAAGGTTATAATTCCAATCAATTTATCAACATGTAATATCCAAAGTTTCATTTGCCAATATAAACCATAATTAAAGTTCAAAATGTTGGTAGAGCACCTTAAAATCCTTCCATCTATGAAGAGTATTTGATTCTACCATATCTGGATCTTGAGAAGATTTTTGAAATTTTAGTCAATCTGACCCTTTTTGGCCCCGCCCCTCAGGCCCCTGGGGGCTGGGGACCATATAATTCTCAATTTTGGTTGACCTTTGGCGGATGGACAATGGACGACGACGGACAAAAGGCGATTGGAATAGGTCACATGAGACTTTGTCTCAGGTGACCTAAAAACTTGGCATCAATATTCAACTAAATATCATTCATCATTTATCAATAAAATTGTATATTCAGTTTCACTGGACTTCAAGAAACTATTTATGGCTTTATAATGACTTCTGAAACAATATCCTTGTTATACAGCCCATCTAGATGTTGATAGCATTGCTTATCTTCACTTGATAATTAATTGAACTGGATTGTACAAGTGATGTTAAAACTTTTTTATATTAATTAATACCCGTATTTTTTATATGATATACATCTGAATTTACAGTCATAATTTCAAACACCTTTGTTTATATGTACCAATACAAATATTTCATAATTGACTCGTCGGGGCAGCTAACAGACATGTAGATAACATTACACACTTACTGCACACGATAACATTACACACTTACTGCATATGTATAGTACTAGGGCGCTAGCCTTAACTCACAGCCTTTATTCTCTCTCAGGCCTTGCAATGGTTAACAGTCAGGTAAGTGAAACTTCATTGTCATCTAGATATAGTTGCTTGAACTATAATTTATCTAAAATAAATGGTTTGCATGTGAAGTATTATATAGGACAGGGGATTCAAACTGATGGGATTGATGATAGATCACTACTAGACATGCATTTTAATAAAATCATCATTATCATAGTTAAATGAGCATGCCTGTGTTACAACTTCTATATACACTAGTACTGCTGTCATCAGGCCCATTGAGAAAAAACCCATACACTTTTCATTAAACTATAAAGACAGTATATATGTATCGATCTCCCTATATTAATTATATAGCTGATGTACACAGTATCTCCGTACTAATTACCACATAGTAGAGTTTAACAACTTAATTTCCATCTCTTGATGTCAATAAATCATTCCAGAATAAACCTTTCTCAGATTACGTGAGATTTTGCTTTTAGCAAATGAATAAAGAGTCAGAATCATCACTATTGCTGCAATGTATTCTAATATTCTCTTACCACTATTTCTGCATAATGTAGAACTGTATGTCACAGTAGCAACTACACAACCATAGCATACAACGTATTTCATGCTTATTGAAACATACAGGACATATGCAAGGTACATATTTGTTTCATATTCTTATGAGTGAGAAAAACTTGGCTGACATATCTCATGCTGTTTCTTAGTATATTGACATTTATGTGACAAATTTACTGATGACACTATTGTCAGCTAGGTGTGCCCGAATGCTGTTTATTAATTGTGTAGGTGTAATTAGAGAACAGAATACTCGTCCTTGGAAGTCACAACTGTTTTACATGGAACAATGAATGATCACTCTCTTGGAACAATAAACGTATTTCGCCTCAGAAATCGATATTGTAATCAGAGATTCCTATGACAACTTATTTTGGTCTACCTATATATTATTCAAACATTCAAATAAAATGTACCATTTAAAGACAAGAGGCCCAAGGGCCTGAGTTATATCATAGGTACTGGTAGCTTTATTTTATTGTTTAGATGTGATGTGGAAATCAGCATGTAAACTAAGTGAAATACAATACTTGTCATGTCATCAAAGGATAAGAATTTGAAAATATTGGTAAATGTTCCCTTTGGGGCCCCGCCCTAGCCCCTGGGGATGGGGCAGGCATCTCAATTTTACAAAGTAATACTCTCATTCACCAAAGATGATTCTGACTAAGTTTGAGTAATTTTCTGCTGAAAATAGATAAAATATATACCCAAAAGGGTTATTTCCCTACATAAACTGTAGTAAACTTTACCCCCTCCCAAAGGGAGAACGGATAGCTCGGGGGTCCTGAAATTTACGATTTAAATAAAGCCCCTGATGATTTCGTTTCCATGCAGAGAAAATGAATGTAGAACCTCAGTCTGGATGAGAAAATTTTGGAAATCTTGGTTAATTTTGCCATTGGGGCCCCGCCCTGGCCCCAGGGGTTGGGGTAGGAATCTCAATTTTACAATTTGAAAACATCTTCTTCCAAGGATAATTCTCACGAAGTAAAAATAATTTCTTACAGAAAGTTGTCAAAATATACCCAAAATGAAAAGTGTTATTTCCCTATATAAACTATAGTAAACTTTACCCCCTCCCCAAGGGAGAATGGATAGCTCGGGGGTCCTGAAATTTACAATTTAGGTAAAGCCCCTGATGATCTTGCTTTCCATGCAGAGAAAATGTCTGGAGGAGAAGATTTTTGAAATATTGGTTAATTTTCCCTTTGGGGCCCCACCCTGGCCCCAGGGGTTGGGGTAAGAATCTCAATTGATTACAATTTGAAACTATCTTCCTAAAAGGATGATTCTCACCAAGTAAAAATAATTTCCTACAAAAAGCTGTCAAAATATACCCAAAAGTGTTATTTCCCTATATAAACTATAGTAAACTTTACCCCCTCCCCAAGGGAGACGGAATAGCTGGGGGGGGAGGGTCCTGAAATTTACAATGTAAGTTGACACCCTGATGATCTTTCTTTCCATGCAGAGAAAATGACTGTAGTACCTCTGAGTCTGGAGAAGAAGATTTTTGAAATATTGGTTAATTTTCCCTTTGGGGCCCCGCCCTGGCCCCAGGGGTTTGGGTAGCGATCTCAATTTTACAATTTGAAACTATTTTCCTCCAAGGATGATTCTCACCAAGTAAAAATAATTTCCTACAGAAAGTTGTCAAAATATACCCAAACAAGAGCTGGCCCATGGGCCTTAACGGTCATCTGACATCCGATTCAAATTAGGACTGTCATCCAGGGGCCAATTCATACTTTTCGTCGGTCCGAGTGGCGTTGCTGCATCGTCCATTAATTTTTCCTTGTGAACACAATAACTTCAGTAAATATGTTCTGTTCTGTTCTTGATTAAAAGAAACAAGTAAAAGCGTAAATCACTGATTTATTAAATAAGGCACAAAATTTTAATAGCAATAATTTACATTTATTCTTGTGTAATGTCAATCAACATCACAGGGACAAATAATAATATGACAAAGGGCAATAACTCTGCAGGTTACCTTCAAATAATTAACGGACAAAGTTTCATTGAACTCTGTCAACATTTATTCAAGTTATCGTGTTTACAAGGTCCAATAATAATATTATTACAAAGGGCAATAACTCTGTAAGTTACAGTCAAATAATGCCGAGTTTCGAACTCCTCCGAGATCTTATTGATATAAGGCTACATACAAACTTGGTTGATATTTACTCAAGGTATCGTGAACACAAGGTCCAATACAAAATAGTGTAATAATATCATTACAAAGGGCAATAACTCTGTAAGTTACTGTCGAATAATTCCCATTTAGAGTCCGGGATCTTATTGATATATGGCTGCATACAAAGTTTCATCAAACTCGGTTAACATTTACTCAAGTTCTCGTGTTCTCGTATGTTCGGTTTGGACAGGGAGTAGTTTCGTATTTGCGTGGGGCATTTTAAACTTTCCTTTGGGAGTTAAAGAACTGGTAGTTGCAGATCATTTGCATAATAATTGGACATGGTAAGTATTGTTTTTGATATAAAAAGTCTTTTTAGTGTGGTGATCTAAGAATGCAAAAACCTTGAATTCTTAAAAACCTTAACAAAGTACAATTGAGCTGTTTTGGCCCCTTGAATATGAAAAAAGGGGTTCAGTACAATAAATTTGCTAAGACTCCATATCAATGCCTTGATCAACCTTGTATAGTTGTCAACAGCCTCTTGACTGTGGTGATTTAACACTATCTGAAAAAAAACTTACTCAACATTTTTATTTTTTAAAGTGAAACGCTAATGTGGACACATAAAGCTGGTTGAATATAATATAATAAAAAAATAATGTCTTCTATTAGTTCAGATATATGGTTTGCTTTATAGCTTCAATGTGAGGAAATCACATGACTTCTAACGATTCAGTCAACAGAAAAATGGCGAAAAAAGTCATCATACCCGAACTGAGATAGGATAAAATTTGTATACAAATGTTTGTGAATTGCAATACTAGGTATAATAGACAGTAAAATCAGTTCTATTGCAACCAAATCAGTTTCCACAATGGAATAGGCTATGTATCATTATATGAAAGAAAGGAATGTTTCAGTTTGTCTTCAAAATGTGTCCGGGAGGTGCAGGTTTTTTTGGGCCATTTTTCCATGGACTGAATCATTAGAGGTCAGGTGATTTCCCGTATTGGAGGTCAAACAAACCAAATATCTGAACTTATAGCAGACAATCTCTTTTTCTTAGTTATAAAACACCTACCATGGTGCTAAATTGGAATTAGGTGCACAGATCATGATAATCATGTAATCCCATAACTGAAAAATTTCATTAAATATGCTCATATTATTTTATTGTTAATCCGCCAGCAGCTAGTAACTGAAGGACGTGGATCAACACAATAAAAGGACAAAAGTAGACAAATTATCAATGGTGTTTTTTTAAATAAATATCTGGAAGATAGTAATTCCAGATTTTTTCTTCACTTTAGAACTTTTAATTGGCTCAGCCACGGAATTAGATCTAAGTCCGTGGCTCGTGGCTCAGCTAATCTACTACAATATCATTGGTGCGAGGAGTCTACACAGTGTACATGTAGGTGTTACAATGTGACTCACTCCTAGCTAGCACAGTCAGGTCTCGCTTTATATCACAGTTCATTTATGATTCGAAGGATTTTGAGACAGGATCATGATTTATAGAGGTATACATGTAAGTACAGACTTTTGATTATCTTCATACCATTATACAAGTTCTACAGATGACCTGTCACCCAAGATATAATTTTATTACTGAAATCAGCTACCTGTGGAATCATCATCATCTCAGTATTTTTTCTCTGGTTATTTCATATATATATCAACTGGTCATTCAGGCCATTTCTATTAAGACAGGCAGACCAGCATATGAGGAATCCACAACACATAATCCAACATCCAAGTTCTATTGACAGGTTTAGGTTTATTTACAGGTTTATTTACAGTTGTACATTATATTACAATTTTACTTTCATAGTCAGAACAACACCTGAGAGGATCTGACATAGCTAACAATTCACAGTTAAGAATACTGGAAACAGCCCTTTATATTCTGTTTCCCAGACTTCCCCATCTACTCATGGCCATTTAGCTAGGTATACTCATGCATGCCTGTCTAGCAACAGTGACAAATCCCATGATGACCTTAAAGGTCAAACTTCCCTGTGAGCTTAGCCGTATGCAGCAAAGTCCCTCTCCCAGTAGTCTAACAGACATTTAAAATAGATGGCTGATCATTCCTTGATCATATATATATACCCTAACAAGTCCTACAGATGAACTGTCAGTCTGTCACCCAAGTTTTATTACTGAAAACAGCTACACTGTATATAGTTCTCAGTGTTCTGTTCAGGTTTACCATTGTAATTACATTTTCAAGATGAGTTAGCCCCAACTATAAAAGTGTGGGTATTTTAACTGTTATCCCTCAGTCGATCTTTCCTATGTATGGTATAACTAGTCATGATGAGCTTACTAAGAGTGGCATAAGGTCTGGACTGGTTCTTCAAATGTTTTTTTATCTGTTATCAATTATTAGTGGAAATAGCTGTACGAGTTACAAACCTGTACTGTTAGTTACATCAATCATGCATGATGCATGCAGACACCAACAGGTGAGAAATATAAGAAGCTAAAGTCATTACATTAAGTTGTGGTATATTAATCCACAATCTATTAGAATGTAACTTAACAGCTTGCGGTTCACCCCAATTTATACTGCTTGTGTGGATTAATTGTGATGCAGCACCAGGTCGCTGATCTGTAAAGATTTTATCATCTTCTGGAGTGTGCATGAATCAGAAACAGTGGGGGGAAACATATTTGTTAAGTATTTTGTATTTGGGACATATGGCATGGTATTTACTTCGGAGAATATGATAGAAAATTATACATTGGAATTCATGTCATATGCTGACATAGGAGCTTGTAGATCTTGGAGTGTTTTTTTAAACAGTACAGTTTAAGATTTACTTCAATTACACAACAAGATGCCTAAGGGCCTCAACTGTCAACAGAGTTATATTATACAGGTTGCTTAATTTCATTGTTGAGATGTGAAGTGGAAATCAGCATGTAGACAAATTGAAATACAATACTTAATTGTCATGTCACCAAAGGAAAAAAATAAATAAAAACTATGTAATTGAATTATTTTGCTATTCATAAAATAATAACAATATAATATCTTTATTGTCTTTATAGCCAATTTGAATGTGACAATTTTAAAATGTACCCTCTATGAAATGTTTATATTTACCTATATGAACTGGAGTAAACGTAACCCCCTCCTCAAGGGAGAACGGTTGGCCTTGAGGTAATATAATATATACAAGTTAGTTAATGCACCCAAGGACCTTTCCATCCATAAAGATTATTTCATTCACCCTTTGGGCACCTGCACCCATTCGGTCCCTAGGGAGGCAGGATATTATTTTCTTATACCATTTGGTTGCTTTTTTATCATAATTTTTCCAACCATTAAGTTGAATAATTTCTTGCTGAGAAGAGGCAAAATATACCCAAAGTGTAATTTCCCTAGATAAACTGGAGTAAATTTTACCTTCTCCCAAAGGGAGAGCAGATGACCCAGGGGTAATGAAGTTTACAATTTAGTTAAAGCTTGTAAGGACCTTTCGATCCATTTAAGGTATTTGATTCGAGTACCTCGAGCTAGCTCTGAGTCTGAGGAAGAACCTTTAACTATTTTCTTCATTTGGCCCCCAACACTCCAGCCCCTGGGGCAAGGACAGAATTTGTTTTCCACATATTATCTTATTGCCATCTCATCACAATTATTCCAACCAAGTTTGAATAATTTCCTGCTGAAAATGTACAAAATATACCCTAAAGTGTTCTTTCCCTATATGAACTATAGTAAACTTTACCCCCTCCCCAAGCGAGAACGGTTGGCCTTGAGGTAATAAAAGTTACAAAGGACCTGTTACAGGAACAAAAGAATTTTTTATTATGCAATGTTTTTTTTTACATATTTGAATTCATAATTTGCAGCAGATCCTACTTTAAATAATATAATATTATTTGATAGCGTAAAACATTGTTTTGATAGTTTTTTGGACAAAAAAGTGAACCCTGTCGTACACCTTTGGAAGGCGGCACTAAATAGTTCATAGCACAGGCCCTGGGGACCTTTTTGATTTTTTAAAATTATCTCATGGGTCGTGTCTCAGGGAGCTACAAATATAACCCAGTAATTATGGTTAAATTGCTTTGTGGGCAAAATTCTTTTGTTCCTGTAACAGGTCCTTTGATAACGCCCTTGATGATCTTTACATCCATGTAGAGAATTTGAATGTCGTACATCTGAGTCTGAAGAGGAAGATTCTTGAAATATTGCTTAATTTTCCTTTTAGGCCCTTTTTTAAACGATAAAGTGTAAGATGTTCTTCAATTACACAAAAAGCAGTTGTTAAATGTTAAAACTCCAATTACAATAGAAACATTTTAAGAGATTTAACTCCACAAATCCTCAGTTATGAGTAATTAATATTTGTTTACATGCATGTAGCTTGTTCATGTAGAAAAATATATCTGCAGAAACTAATTATAATGCAACAATTTGTAAAGTAATCCGATATAATGTAGACAGGTAGGTCTTTTTGTAAAGTAATCCGATATAATGTAGACAGGTAGGTCTTTTTGTAAAGTAATCCGATATAATGTAGACAGGTAGGTCTTTTTGTAAAGTAATCCGATATAATGTAGACAGGTAGGTCTTTTTGTAAAGTAATCCGATATAATGTAGACAGGTAGGTCTTTTTGTAAAGTAATCCGATATAATGTAGACAGGTAGGTCTTTTTGTAAAGTAATCCGATATAATGTAGACAGGTAGGTCTTTTTGTAAAGTAATCCGATATAATGTAGACAGGTAGGTCTTTTTGTAAAGTAATCCGATATAATGTAGACAGGTAGGTCTTTTTGTTAAGTTATCCGATATAATTAATGTAGACAGGTAGGTCTTTTTGTTAAGTTATCCGATATAATTAATGTAGACAGGTAGGTCTTTTTGACAGTGGAGTTTACTGCATTAATGTAGGCATGGCTGCAGGAGTAATCTCCCTTCTTCTTTCTCATAGTTGTGAAGTCAGACAAGATGGCAAATTTACATTATTTTGTGTATTCTTGTCACCATTGATAAAGACCGAACAGTTTTCAACAGATATACTGTGATGGAGACTCACTGTTACATCATTTTATTTAGGTACAGTTTAGTAAGTATCATTTACCTAAAGTTATAAAGTGGTTCCATTGGTAGTTGGTTCAGACAGTATAATGACAATCTTCCTTCATCACATAATCATTTGACCATGCACTTATTTTTCCGATTCAGAAAAAGCCAACAGTTTCTAGAAATGTTGACATTGGTTTTAGATCATTAATGAACAAACCATTTGATGCGAACATTGTGATAATGCGCACACCTGTCAAAAGAGAGAAAGTGGTGCTTTGTGCTGATTATGAATATATTTAATTCCTGTTATTCAATGATGATTACAAAAACAAATATTATTCAAATACTAAACATGTTGTATAAATAAGTGAAGTGGTCAAGGAAACAAGGAAATTCAACATATCTGACATGTTTATAAAATAAAGGCACGTTACAAGTTATCATCCCCTGTCAATGGGACAAACTGTTGGAATATGACAAACAATATCATATATATCCAGTTATTACAGTGAAGATTAACTGAATATGGGGATATATACAAAAATCAAGAATTATATATATATCCAGTCTTAACGTGTAGACTAACTGAATATGAGGTTATACACAAATCAATAATTATATACACACAGGTATCCAGTCTTAAAGTGTAGACTAACTGAATATGAGGTTATACACAAATCAAGAATTATATACACCGGTATTCAGTCATTTATGTAGACTAACTGAATATGAGGTTACATACAAATCAATAATTATACATATCCAGTCATTATAGTGTATACTAACTGAATATGAGGTTACATACAAATCAAGAATTATATATATCCAGTCATTATAGTGTATACTAATAACTGAATATGAGGTTACATGCAAATCAAGAATTATGTATATTCAGTCATCATTGTGTAGACTAACTGAATATGAGATTTCTTATGAGATTACAAGTTATGTGGATAATTTTACAGATGGACAATATGGGAAAGTAACTACAATATATACCCAAATACTGTGAAATCATAAATTTTCGTGGGACATTAAACTTTGTTTATTTCGTGGATAACAAAACATAAGACATATGAAAACATGAATTTGGTATGTTTAAGATAGAGGAAAATAAAAAATCGGCGAAATTTAATGCCCCTGAAACAGGCTTGTCCATGAAAACCACAAAATTTTAACCCCACGAAAAATCTATATGGGGGTATAATTGATCTCCTAAAGTGGCTTTTGACCCTCAAAATGTGAGAAGCTGTTATATAAATAGGTAAGGATTTGTGATTTACACCTGATTTTACCCCCAACTTTTATTTCTTGCAAAAACAATTAGCCTGATACTGTCCTTATACAAACAACCATAATATGCAAATAATATCAGTAAATTAATTGTTGTTGTACAGTAGCTGACTGAATACTCATATATATACAACAAGGTAGAATCAGGTAGAATACAAATCATAATACAGATCATATATATCATGATTAT